CCCGACGCCCCCCGCCCGGGGGATCCCGGGGGCTCTGGGCCGCTTACCTTCCTCTTGTGCCGGTGGATGTCCCCGATGGAGTTGGCCACGGTGTTGGGCCCCAGCAACATGCGGGTGCTGCGGGGCCACTCCGTGCTGACCAGGTGGTGCTCGCCCATCAGGATCTTGCGCACGTTCTCCGCCCCGGTGACCCGGATCAGGGGCCGGCCCAGCAAGTGCGTCTTAAAGACGTTGCCATACTTCTCCCTCCGCGAGGACTGGAAGCAGGAGCCCTAGGGCAAGAGGCGCACAGGGTGACCCCGGGCCCAGGCACACGCGAGGCTGGCACCCCTGCAAAACCACCCCTCTCCGAGACGCTTCCCATTGAAAGCAACCCCCCTTTGCCTGCCACTCAGCTTGGCCGGCTGTTAAACCAGGATGGCGACTAGCCAGGCGCTATTAATAGCAGTGCCTCCGGCTGGCAGCCGCTCGATACCCGCATGCCATGGCCAGCCCTGGAGCTGAACAGCAGCTTGGAGACGGGGAGGGAGGCGCAAGTGCCCCCCCTGCTACCGGGGTGGGGGTCTGGATGGAGCCAGGTCACCCAGGTGGGAAAGCCATCAAGGCCCCCGAGTTGGCACTGGGGGGAAGGGGTCCTGCCTGCCAGCCTGGGTCATTAACGGTGCATGGAGCCTGGGCTAATCAAACCACCCCAGCTACAAGCAGTTGGGGGGGAAGTCTAGCAATTGCATTAGCGTAGGGCCCCTGCTACATGCAACGCAAACCGCGCAATAAATGTAGAGCGGTGCAAAGGTCTTGGCCCCCAGTGAACTGGTGACTGGTCCAAGAGAGTTCAGCCCAGCCGCACCTGCCAAGTAAGGATGGCAGGATCAAAGAAAAGGACCATCCAGCAATGAAACGAGCCCAGCAGCTCTGCAGTTAGTGCTGGAGAAGGTCTGGTCGCTGCAGAGCTGGTTTCTACCAAACTCGAATTGGGGCAGGGCCCCTGCGGCATTAGGTGCCCAGCCCAGCCCAGGGGCACTCTCGGGGCTGGCCCCTGCATAGATCAGCCCCGTGGCCCACGGGGGGAGGAGAACTGCCCCTCAGGCTGGACTGGGATGAGGGTGCAGCTATCCCGGGTTAATTCTGCCCCCCATCATAACCCATGTCAACCCTTCTTCTCTTCCTCCAGCCCAAGAGCCCTGTTGCCCCCCCCGAAAGCAATAGGCAGTGCAGGTAGCAAGAATTCCCCTATCTACCCTGCTTAATTAAGGACCAGACATTTAATTAAAAAAAAAAAAAAAAAAAAGGGGGGGGGGGGGGGGCGGGGGTCTTCTCATTACAGCGGATTGAATTGATCCGGTACCGATCGCGGAAAGGATCCTACCTCCGGACCCCAAAAGACCTGATCGACCCCTTTCCTGGCCTGTCTGCTCCCTCCACATGCATCCCCCTCGCTACCTTTGGCTTCCCCAGCCTCCCAAAGCTTTTAAAGCTGCCTTTTTATGGAGACTGAATTACTTTAAAGGGTGTAATTATCCAGGGCTAAGTAAGTCTGCAGATTCTGGACTTTTAATAACTTTCCCACATGTTTCCAGGTTCTTTTTGTCATAGAGAGAGAGAGAAAAAAAGGCGGGGGGTGTATCGGACAGTGTGAGAATGCGCTGAAAAGGGGATTAAAAATATATATACGTGTATCATATATATATAATATACACATATATGTACATGCATATATACATATATATGGATGTGCGTATGCATCTATATGTGCATATGCATATACGTGTGTGCATGTGTGTGTGCCTATATACACGTGCGTGCATATTTATGTGCATTTATATACATATATATGCATATATACACCTATACATAGAAATGGATGTGCATATGTGTGTATATGCAAATATAGGTGTGTGTGTGTGTGTGTGTACATTGTATTTCTTACACCCCCCCCCCCCCAAAAATAGGAGAAACTTTCCAAGGAAGCTTTGCTCTCGCCCTTTAAATAGACAAGCTGGGAGTTTCTCGCCCTGTATTGTAGGTGGCTGCACAAATTGGAGGGGATGTTAGGTGTGAGTGTGTGCGCGCGTGCACGCGCGTGTGTTTGTATTTGGAAACAAAAGCGGGGTTGTGCGTTTCAGATGTTCAGGTGACCCCGTGTCTTGATCCGCGTATATATAATTAAAGTCCTTTTTGTGGCATTAATAAAGACTTATTTGTACAGCATTTCCACCGCCGCACAAAGGCCACCTTTATGTGGCTGGATGTCGAGCCCAGTCCAATTTATACAAAATTTTGTATTTTTAGCCCTGGACTCTGTTTGGATGGAGGCTGTGGAAAAGCGAGAACCCTTTTCTGGTCCCCCTGTAAAAATCTGATAAATTTCTTTAAAAAATAAAGCGCTATTGAGAGCCTGCCCTTAACCCCTTCGCTGCGGCGGCGGAGCGCAGCCTGCTCGCCGGGCGCTGGGGGCAGACACAGCGCTGCAGCCGGGAAAAGTTTGCAAAGTTTGGATTTGATTTTGGGGGGTGGGACGAGGCGCGTGGGGCTGCGGGGCACCCAAGCCGAAGAGGGCTGGTGGGATCCTGCTCCAGGCACCCACCCGGGGCTGATCCGGGCTGATTCAGGGTGCTGGGGGGCTTCGTGGGAGGAGGTTGCGGGGGGAGGGGGGGGGTCTCCTGCTTTCCTGCTGCGATCAAATTGCCCGGGACGCTTGTTGAGGCTTTAGCAAGGTTAATCCCGGGTTAAGCTCCTGCGCTGCTGCAGCGGCTCCGTGCTTAGCCCCCGATCTAATGGGGCAAGGGTGCGGGGGGCATGAATCCGGGTTAATTTAGCCTCGCTGGCCCGGGTTTGCCTGGCCGGGTGCTACCTGGCTGCCCGGCGCCGAGCGGGTCCCAGCCGTTAAAGGGGCGATGGACACAGCCTGCCCGGGCTAATGGGGCTGTCTGGCCGGGGCGATGGCCACGAATGCGGGGCGGGCTGGGTGCACACGGGACCCCGGGCCCTTCGGCTGGGCAGGGAGCGGGGGGTTTGCAAAGCAACTGCGGGGGGGACCCAAAGTTTCCAGCTCAACTTTCTATGGAGAGGGATAGAAACTCCCTTCTCAGACAAGTCCACATTATGATGATTGTTTTGCCTTTGCTAGCCAGCCCCTGAGCCCACCGATCTGGGCAGGGGGAGAAAAGAAATCAACCCCCTCCCTCCCCGCAAGCATGCACCCTCTCCGGCTGCAAAGTGCCCCCCAAGACGCCTCCCTCCCAGCCCCGAGGCAGGATGCAACTGTCCCGGACCACCTTAAAGGAAGCCAAGGGGAATCCTCCTTACCTGCAGGAACCAGTGGAAAGTCTCGCCAATTAAAGGGAATCCCATAGACCCTTTAGGAATGGGCAACTTGCAGCTTTTGTCCCGGGTCGCTGCCCAGCGCAGCTGCCACAGCTGCTGGGACACGGCCAGCAGCAGAGTGACGGACACCAGGCACCCGGCGAGCGTGGCCAGCGCAGACACCAGGTCAAAGCTTGCAAACAGCATCTTGGGAAGCAGCAGGAGGAGGGAGAGAAGCAGCCCGGAGCCCGAGCCGGACACACGCGCGCACGCACGCGTGCTCACACTCACACACAGCCAGAAAAAAACAGAGCAAATAAATAATAGTAATCCCCGCAGAAGGTCACACGCCGGAGCGCTGCATAGAGCGAGGGAGCGCTTCCAACGCGGGGAGACGCGGAGGCTCTCCGCCTGCCACCCGGGGGGGGCCAAAGGAGAGCCCCCCTTCTCTCTCTGCCAGCTTGGGAAGAAACTTTGCAGAGGGCACAGCCCCCTCCCCCGGAACAAGGGTGGAGAAACGGGAAAGGAGAAGGGAAAGCAGCCAATCCCCCTCCCCAAAAAAGTGGAGGAAAAAAAAAAATCACCCCCCCCCCAAAAAAATGTAAAGACAATTTACAAAGGAAAAAGAAACCCAGCCAATCCCTTCCAAAAAAGGGGTTTAAAGAAATTAATTTAACCCTCCCCCCCCAAAAAAAGTTAATTTTTTTAAAGGAAACTCAATCAAATCGTCCCCCTCAAAAAGTTGAGAAAATGTCCAAAGAAAAAAGAAAACTAGCCAATGCCCCCCAAAAGTTAGGATTTTCTTTAAAAAAAAAAAAAGAAAAATCAGTGCCCCCCCCAAAAAAAAGTCAAGACAGTTTTAGAAGGAAAAAGGAGATCTGCAAATTTGCCCCCTCCCTAAAAGTTAAGACTGGTTTTTTTTTAAAGAGAAAATAAGTCAATTCTCCCCCAAAAGTTGAATTTTTTTTAAAAAAAAGGAAAATCAGCCAATTTCCCCCCCAAAAAGTTGAGTTAAAAAGGAAAATCAGCCAATTTCCCCCCAAAAAAGTTGATTAAAAAGGAAAATAAGGCAATTCCCCCCCCTAAAAAAGTTGATTAAAAAGGAAAATAAGGCAATTTCCCCCCTAAAAAAAGTGGATTAGAAAGGAAATCAAGGCAATTTCCCCCCCCCCAAAAAAAGTTGATTAAAAAGGAAAAGAAGGCAATTCCCCCCCCCAAAAAAGTTGGTTTGAAAAACCAGCCAATTCTCTCCCCCAGCCAAAAACAGTGAAGGTATTTTTAGAAGAAGAAGAAGATGAGGAGCGCCCTGCCCCAAGCCCCCCGGTCTCGAGGTGTGTGTTGAAGCCGGTGCAAAAGCCCCAGCTGTGCGCCCACCCGCCCGGCGCGAGGAGGAGGAGGAGGAGGAGGAGGAGAGGAGCCGGGCAGCAAGGAGCGGGCTG